CCGTATGGGAGTTAATGGCGCCCACAATACCGTAGGGGAAAATGTCGGCGCCTACAACACTGTTTGGGCTCTGTTGTGCCAGGAAGGTTGCAGAGTACTGTTTCTACAAGTGTACAGAGTATGGTCCCCGGTATTGCGGTTTGACTTGTGTGCCCTGCCTTACTTTCTTCGTCCGTTTTCTGGTCTATACCGAGCGGACGTCCCCGGTCGGTTGGTCCCGGTCGGTTCTGATTACGCCAGTTGGAGAAGAGCATTGAGCGGGGTTTTTGGCGTACCCCGGTCGGAGACGTGGAGTCGGAGTCGGAAGTAGTGCTTTGATCAGGCCTTCCGGTCGAAGAGGCCGTCCGGAGGCGGGCTGGAGACCGAAGTGAGCGCTCCGGTCGGAGAGGTGGGCCGGAGTCGAAAAACGGGCACCGCTCCTCCTCGGCCAGACCTTCCGGTCGGTGATTGGATCGTCCTTCTGGCCTGTTGTTTAGATACTTGGGCCGGCCCATGAATTGCGCGTTGTCTGCTTGGGTTGAGCCTTTGTTGAGAAACCGGTCCACGAGGGACCCCGGGTTTATGAACCCGACAATATATATCGTCGACTTCTTATTTGTTAAACAATCAATATAACCTCAACAATGATATAAATATAAATCCGTATGTTTTATTATGTTATAAACTTGTATATAATTAAAATAATTATTGGTTAAAGTTTGTGTTAATTGGCTTTCTCTGTTCAAACAGAGGGATCATGACGATTCTAGTAAACGTAACCGAAGTCGTTCATAACTTTCCTCCCTCGAAGTCATTTAATAACAAGCTTGAAGCATCAGACCTTAAGGATTCTGAAACTCAAACCACATATTCATTTCAACTTAGGAGTATTTCATAATTCTAAAAATTTATATTTATAGGCTATTGTTGGCAATCAGTAAATTAAACAGAGAGTATAGTATAATAGGATAGACCATGCTATCCTAAATGTACCTACCATATGTTGCATTGTAGGAAGGGTAATTTTCCGTTACTTGTTTAAAAAAAAACAAACATCTGAGTCGACATCCTACTGGAATCAAGCCAGAAATTCTGAAAGATTGCTTTTAACTTTTGTGTTGTTTTTTTTCCAAAAATTCATTGAAAGAGCTAAGGGCCTGATTGGTTTGTGACGAAATTTTACCATGCCAAAGATTTGGCAGTTAAAAGTTGGACAAAAAATTACTATAGATTTGACAAGCTAAATATGAGAGGTCGGCAAGTTTTGGTAGCAAACCAAATAATAGCAAAAATTTTGGCTTGCCAAATCTTTGGTAGGGCAAAATTTGGTCACAAATCAATCAGACCCTAAATGCTCACAATTCACAAAAGAGATAAGCCCATAACTTCCTGACAGAGTGATAGTGTAGGATCTCTGGAACGCTTAGAGGGAGAGTGAATAGGCCTGTAAAAATTCAATTCAAATCGAAGTCAAATTCACCCGCGGCACTGCCGCACCTGCAGGAGATATTAGTTCACAGTTTAAAATCTATCCAACGAAATTTAGATTGGGTAAATTTCTTAGCTTTCTGCAGAGTAGTAGATCACAGATTGATAGCTGAAAGTGGTGGGAACACCACACAAGTAGATCAGCCTCAAACTATAGAAATTACCTCAATCAACAATATGTCACGTAAGTAATGTAAATCAAGCACAAGTGACGTAATAATTTATCCCGTGGTTCGGCTCGCCACCGAGGCTTGTCTACCTCCACGCTGTTGAGGTTAGCCACTAAGGTTTAGAGCTTTCCAACCTTTCACTCGTTCTCAAGTCAAGAGACTTAACTTTTGAGATGTGGGGTGAGTTTACTAGCTTCAAGAGATGGTTATAAACCTCCCAGAGCTGCCACACAAGTTGGCAAGCTCCACGGGCGATGCTCTAGCCGGCTAGAGCCAAGCTCTAAGAGTAACAAAGACAGCCACCGGCTAAAACGTGAACCAAGTGCTCTTTAGAGTTTGGGAATCAATGGAGCTGCTCTCTAATCGAGTTTTAGACCCTTATCCCTCAAGGATTGATTGTAAAATCAATGAATTTGCTTGGGGGCTTGAGGTCAACAATGGAGTGAGAAAGAGAGAGCTCCTGCTCTGTTTTGGACGTGTTGAACTGAGAAGAAGAGAGCAGATTGGTTCGTTACTATTAGGAAGGAAGAGAAAAGGTATATATACCTTTAGCCCCCAACAGTTACTTTAAATCACAGATAGCCATTGGCGATGAATGGGAAAGGTATATATACCTCTCAGCCCCAAACGGTCACTGCACCCAAGGGACCAAGCGAGACGGAGCCCGTAGCCTTGAGGTCGGACGAGACGCCCGCAACCAAGGGGTCGGACGAGACAAAGCCCGCGACCATGGGTTCAGGCGAGCCGGATCCCGCGACCTTGGGGTCGGGCGAGACGGAGCCCTCGACCTTGGGGTCGAGCGAGTCGGAGCCCGCGACCAAGGGGTCGGACGAGTCGGAGCTCGCATCATGCAAGACAGTGAGGGTAATAGTGAAGTGTAGACTGTCTTGGCTGTGAATCTAAGGATGCATGTAGTTATTTGAGCAGTTGGTAGCACATATTAGCTTAAACATTGTGCCCCCTTTATAGTACGGTTTTTCCTATACTCAAATTCAATATATAAAAGAATTTAAACCTTTTTTGAATTTGAAGCCATCTACATTTATAATTAAGGGCTCCTCCGTTTCGTGTAGCATCCTCGAATATAAATTTCATGCTTGTCATCTTGATAAATCTTATTAGTTCTCTAATTGTGTGGTTATTATCACCAAAACCCATAATTAAGGTTTGATTGCATTTTAGTTTGTCGAAGTGATCGTTCTTCCGTGAAGTTATGAGGTACTCTAGATGATGGATCACCATCTCCACTAGCAGAATAGTCTCTTGGATCACTTCGGCATTGTCCTTCAAACTTGCGACTGCTCGACGTTGTTGAATCTGTTTGTGGCTCAAGTATATCATGCTGTCAGTGTCAGCACTTCATCATTGTTGCCTTTTCTATTGTCTCATACAAAATGAGAGTTGACACACAATAATAGTATAATACACGTGCTTAAATGCAATTTTACTACTATAGAATTGCTAGTCGACCTGTTCGCTGGTTAGTTTCTGGGCTGGTTTGGGCTGGCTGATGCTGGTTTATTGTGAGAGGAAAACACTGTTGGCTGGCTGGTTTGGGCTGGCTGAAACCAACAAGCGAACGAGGTGAGTGCCATAACTCTTACTATTAGAGAACCAAGCTTATTATTGTGTTTTCCCAGTAAAAAGATAGAGGTGCCAAATGTTCTAGAAACTACTTAGCCCTAGTGAAAAATTGCAAGGTAACAACTAATCTAATTTTAGTATTGTATAATTTGCCCCATTGCCATGGAATTGTTTCACATAGAAATGGAAAACAAGCCACATAAGTTTTTTTCCTCCTTTTTAAAGAATTTTCTAAGTGGGATTCTTTGCCAAGATTTTGACAATTAAATGACCCCTTTTCCCCTTATATGCACTCTAGGAAACCATAACGAGATACACTTCAAGCATATTTTGAACAAAGTTCAAACAAGACTCAGGACCCAAGGATAGAACAGATTCAATGCATTTCGGAAGAGTGGATTGCTCCGTACCTGTTCTTTATTTGGTTTCGATTGAAGTTAGTTTTTGAGGATTTAGATCTTCATCTAATCACGTGCTTTTATAAGACAAGATTCTTCCACTCTATCATGTTCGCTTGATCGTATCAGCCACGCTTATCAGCCATGATATAGTGTTTTTCTCTCACAACAAAACATCACCAGCCGACTTATAAGTGATAGAAACGATCGAGCGAACAGGATGTTAGAGCAGCTATGACGGATGAGACAGCCAGCTAGCTCTTTAAACACCCTAATGTGGGTCCCATGTCTTTTTCTCGGCCCACCACCTCCTCCCACCTCAGTCCCCACGCACGTACGCTAAGCCCAACGCCACGCTCACCACGCACTGCTAGTCGGGTTGCCGTCCCCTGTTGTCCACCTGCTCCCATTCTAGCCTTGACCTTGTCTCGCTCTCGGATTGTTGTCGCTTCCACTTGATTCAACCACCGCCACAACCCTTCTTTCTTTAGACGTTGTCGTCCTCGTATGGCTTGATTTCAGTGCCCCTGTCGCCTCTTGCTCTCTAGCTGCTGCCGTAGCTAGGTCCGAGCGCATTGGCCTCCTATCGTTCGATGAGATCGGTGAGAGTTAGGGCTTCTTTGGCACGGCTTATGCCGGCTTCGGCTTTATCTATTTTGTGCAAATCGAGGCACTCTAGCGTGAAGCCATTTTATAAGCCGGGGTTAAAATGGACTAGAAGCCGAGAAAAGCCAGTTTTTCTGGCTTCACCGGTGAAGCCGTTTTGGATGAACCGTGCCAAAGGGGGCTTTAGTCAGAGAGAGAGTGTGATGGAATGGGCTATTAGACCCTAGTACTACCCCCTGTTGTGTTTGAGCCTAGCGTGAGAAGAAGATGTTCTTTCTCTTTTATCTTTTTTTATGTAAACAAAATCCTAAGGTGATTTTTATGATCTAGCCGATATTGTGATTGTCGAAGTCTTGAATATGTTCTCATCAGGAGCGGAACGCCGCCTTGGACGTGAAGCAACTTTACGAATCGAAGCCGGCCCCTCACGCCGAGGCTGAGCAATTTGGCACTCCACCGGGGGCGCGGAAGCAAAAGCAGTGCCGGCCGAATGGTAATGCCGCCACGCTAAAGACGAGGGGCGGCGGCGCGGACAGTCAAACGAACCGCTCCCTGACTGCGCCGAGTTTTATTACTTGTTGCCGCTGCCGCTCCACCACCCGCTCTCGCTCGCCATTGCCTTGCGCCCCTTTTTAACCCCCTCCTCCCCCACCGCTATAAGTCCCTCCGCCCTCCTCTCCCACCTCAAATCCCAGACGCCAGACGCCACCCATACATACTCACACGCACGCACGCGCCTCCCGCTGTTCCGCAAAGAAAGAAGAGAAACGAGGCCATGGCGCCGAGAACGTCAGAGAAAACGATGACACCGGCGGCGGCCGCCGCCACGGGGCTCGCGCTTAGCGTCGGCGGCGGCGCCGGAGCCGGCGGCCCGCAGTACAGAGGCGTCAGGAAGCGGCCGTGGGGCCGGTACGCGGCGGAGATCCGCGACCCGGCCAAGAAGAGCCGCGTGTGGCTCGGCACGTTCGACACGGCCGAGGAGGCCGCGCGGGCCTACGACGCCGCCGCGCGCGCGCGAGTACCGCGGCGCCAAGGCCAAGACCAACTTCCCTTTCCCTTCGTCGTGCATGCCACTCGCCGCCGGCGCCGGAGCCGGCACCGGCACCTTGCCCGCGGCGGCGGCCGTCACCGGCGGCGGCAGCCGGAGCAGCAACAGCAGCACCGTCGAGTCCTTCAGCGGCGGCGACGTGCAGGCGGCGCCCATGCAGGCCATGCCGCTCCCACCGTCGCTCGAGCTCGACCTGTTCCACCGCGCGGCGGCCGCGGGCACGGGCGGCGGCGCCGTACGCTTCCCTTTCAACAGCTACCCCGTGACGCACCCGTACTATTTCTTCGGGCAGGCCGCGGCTGCCGCGGCAGCAGGGTGCCACATGCTGAAGCTGGCACCGACGGTGACCGTGGCGGCCGTGGCGCAGAGCGACTCCGACTCCTCGTCGGTCGTGGATCTGTCGCCGTCGCCGCCGGCCGCCGTGTCGACGCAGAAGGCCGCCGCGTTCGACCTTGACCTGAACTGCCCGCCGCCGGCCGAGGCGCAGGCCTAGCCGCTGGAGTTTTTAGCTGAAAATGACCGCCTGTAGTTTCTTTCTTCGCCTTTTCCCCGTAGAAGAAAAATCGGTACGCTTAGAAGAGGAGAACCCTCTTGTTCGACGGAGGGAGGACATTTTTGTAAATAGTTTTTCCGCTGGGGACCTAGCTTTAGCTGATGATGATAAAAGCTGTATTGTCACCCATGACAGGTCCTGCCGGCGTTGTTATGGACCGGGATTATTATATTATTACTATTATGTATTTTGATAGTCATGAGAAACGGCTTAGAAAATCCCAAAAAAAAATTGCACAGAAACTATCTATTTATTTCTTTGTTTTCAGAAACTGAAGTGAGATCTATGAACTGCAAGCATGGGTATGGCCTTTCGTATCGTAGTTTCATTTCATTTATTGCTTGCTTGCGATCCATGCAACGTCGCCTTTATTGGTCCGTTAAAGATGTATCAAAGGCTCAAAGAGAGTCGACGAGTCGTCTCGTCTCGTCTCGTCTCATCCAGCGTAGTAGACGTTCACCATCCAAGACTAGGTCATGTACGTGTCCGTTTCGGAACAACGAGCACTAGTGCTAGTACAGATCCACGGCCGCAACCCACAGATCCACGGAACAACGAGTACGTGTGCATCGTTGGGTGCTCAACTTTTTACCCCCGGGTCGGGTAGTTGGCACACGACCAGTGGACGGAGGCGGCGGCATCGCTGTCGATTTCACGCGTGTAACACAAGACGAGGACCCCGCTAGCCCGCTACAGTCGCCCGCCGTGCCGACGGACGGACGGAGAATATAATTTCGCGTACTACTGCGTGCCTTTTCGAGTCGTTTTCCCGGCGCAGTGAGCGGGCGCTATGGAACTGTACCGTGTCAGGCACAGGGGCAAAAAAAAATGCCGGCCGCCAGGCTGTTTTAAATTGCGGGCCGCTATTCCAAATCCAAGGTGACGCTGACGCATGTGGACAACGAACGAGTAAACATAGGAGATGGATTAGGGAGTTCGCGAAATTTGGAAATTTGGCTATGATAGCATTTTCGTTTTTATTTGACAATTAATGTTCAATCATGGACTAATTAGGCTCAAAATGTTCGTCTCGCGATTTCCAACCAAACTGTGCAATTAGTTTTTTTTTGTCTACATTTAATGCTCAATGCACGTATCGCAAGATTCGATATGATGACTACTGTAAAAAAATTTTGGAAAAGTTTTTAGGAACTAAACAGAGCCTTAGTTTATTTGATCCGATTAAGGCCTTGTTTAGTTTGCAACTTTTTGCAACCGGATGAATAGTACCACTTTCGTCTTATTTGGCAAATATTGTCCAATCATAGACCAACTAGGCTCAAAAGATTCATCTCGTGATTTCCAACTAAACTGTGTAATTAGTTATTTTTTTTACCTACATTTAATACTCCATGCAAGCAGCTAAAAATTGATGTGATGGAGAGAGAGTGAAAAAACTTGGAATTTTGAAGCAAACTAAACAAGGCCTAAATTAAAGCCGGAGCTGCGGCACGGCGGCAGCCGGCAGGGCAGTGGGTGGTGGGGCGGATGGATCTTTCGCAGCCCCGTCGGTGTGCGCGTACGGCGCGATCGTCCTGTCCTGCCTGTGCTGTGTGGTGTGCCTGCGCTGGGCTGGCAGGTCGTGGTTGCCCTTTCCGCTCGTGATCTCGGGAGTAACGTGAGCGTGTGGGCGACGACGCGCCCCACGGGCCACGTGTGCGCGGCGCTGCCGGCCACTGCCGCGGCCGCCTGCCGGCCAGGGGCGGGATCCGCCCTGCGCGCCCCGGCCCACGCACCAGCCCCGCGGACCGGCCGCCCCGCGTGGGGGCGCGTGGGAGGCGGCCGCCCATTGGCTGGCGTCCGTGGTGCGTGGACGACGCGGGACGCGGGTAGCGGTGGGAGGACCTGGCGTGTGCGTGGTCCGCGGCGGACAGGCGCGGGCGGGCCCGACACGCGGGGCGGGGGACGGCATCGGGGCGCGCTGCTGATTCGCGCGGCGGCCGTTTCGCCCTCGCTCTCGGGGGCGGGGCCCGCGGCCACCCTCGGAAGGTCGTCGCGCACGGCGCCATCTACCCGCTGTTCCTCCCTCGGCTCGGCTGTGTGCGTTTTCTATTGCTTTCCCGGCGCCACCGTTTTTCCTCGCTTGTACGTGTTCGCCACAGTGGGCTCCCGGGATTTTCGTTGCGCTGCAGCTACCTACCTACCCGCTGCTCCTAGTCCTTCTGGCACCACCATCCCACAGAGAACAACAAATTCATCTGCTGTCATGCTGAAATTTTGCAATATGTACTAACAAATATTTCCGCACGACTAGAAATACAGGCCAGCTTCTCTCCTGAAGGAGAATTTTTATTCTTTTTAAAAAAAATGGAAACCGAAGGAGGAGCAAGTCGAGCTGTGGTATGTTGGGGGCTTAGAGCACTCGAGCTGGCCTGCTGAGGCGCGGGGCCCATGGGGCTACTCGAGTTGGATATGGTTACGCTAGACGGCTGAGCCAGCAACACGTGAAACTGCTTGTCACGCGCAGCCGCGCACCAAAAGTGGTGGCCTACATTGTAACTGGTCCCGTAGTAGGTAGGAGGCCTTGTTAGCCCAAAAACTTAGCTGCGCCGTGGATCCCAAGAAGACCAAAAAAAGTCCGACAGGCGGTCAAAAGTTTTTGCCGCGCCTGCAGGCAAATTTACCGCTTGCGCCTCTTTTATGTACAGTACTCAATCAGTTTGCTGTGCGCCTGGTTGTTTTCAACTTAAGTTGGAGTACTCGGGAATACTTCAGTGTCAAGGACCAGATTAGAAAAAGGAAAGTAGTCCTAGGGTTCGTCAGACCAGTAATCTGATCAAGTTCTTCTAACCCCAAGACATCTTGGGTCCACACTTACAATTAACTACGGTGACCATAATCTTTTGGTACAAATTAAGGATCTATGTGGGACTTTTAACAAGTCATAAGGCAACACCTTCAGAACATCCAAGCAAGAAGATCAATAACACTTGAACTCCTCTCAATTTTCAATTCTTGGTTTGGAGGGCTCTTCAACGCTTCACACTCCCTCTCTATAAGTATTGGCAACAATTGGTGGAAGAGCAGCTCCAAATGATTATACAAATGGTTGTGGTGCCTTTGTTAACATTGTTGAACTCTTTCCAGTATAATTAAAATTTTGTTCATCTATGGCTTCAAAGAAAACATTCCTTGCTCGAGCGTTCCACCTATTTTGGTCCACATTCATAGAACCTCCATAGCTCGTGCCAGCAGCCACCCATACGTGATGGGGAGAGGGATTCAATGTAAACCGGCATGTGGACTTTCCAATAAGGAAAGCTCCTCCCCCCGAACTTGAGTGTCACATTCCCTCCTAAAGCCATTGCTTCAGCGTGTAAAGGCAGGAAAGAGGGTGAATTGGGCTGTTAGACAATCTCCAAGAGATTTTGTAAAATAGATCTTCAAAAAACACAATTTAGAGGATATCTAAAATAGATAGCTCTCCAAATTACTGGAAAACCACAACAGTTTCTTTAATCCACTCTCCAATCCAAATTTCTAACTGGCCATGTCAACTGACCCATTTAAATTGTACAGTGACATGCACGGGAATTGAAAGGATAGCACTCGCGCAAGTTGGGTGCATGCACGGGAGTGGAAGGAGGACAGGCGGATGGCGAGCGACTGCCCCTCACCAATTCTCCCGAGTGAGAATGACGGAATAGAGCACTCGCGATTTTAGAAAACTAGGTACCGAAGCTGTTGGACGTAGTTTTTCCGAGAAAATCTCTAAACCGGACATCACGGAAGCGTATATAGACTCTCTTGGAGATGCTCTTAAAGTGTCAACCTTATACTATGCAAATTATAAATCCCCGCTTTACTAAAAAAAGTGAAAAGTACACTAATCAGTTATTAGTGCCATAATACTATACAATTCTTTAATTAGCAAAGTATCTACATTTCCACACTTGAGTATTGTCCTTAAGTGAAATAAATAAACCTATACTAAACACTACTGAAAGGTCCTTGTTGGTTTTGTTAATTGAGTGACAACCTAGGTGGACTAATTGTGTTTATATGAGATACACAGTTAATTAGTCCATAGGTACATGTGTGTGAGCAACATATGTCATGAAGGTGAAAATGGCTTAGAGATGTTGCAAAGCTCACACACGTGATGATGAAGGAGCTTAACGCACATGAGACATGACATTGAGTCATGTGATCAAGGTGGAGAAGATCAAGACAAGACTTGGCTTGATGGACCGGTTGCAAGCGTGAAGGGCAAGTCAAAGGCTTTGGAGTGATGGACCGCGTGGCCGAGAAGCTTGAGCAAGACTTGGCGCCGATGGACGATGGCAACGGTGAAGGACAAGTGAAGTCAAGATCGATGAACCAATATGATCACGTGATGATATGAAGTGGATCATATCATTGTTGATCGTGTTGGTGCATGTGTTGCATCGACATTGGAGGAGATGGAATGGAATTCGCAAGGCAAAGGTATAACCTAGGGCATTTCATTTCACCGGTCATAGGTGTGTAGAGAAGTTGATGACCGGGTTTAGGATAGATGGCCGTACTATCAAGAGGAGCAAACTTGTTTGCATATCGGTCATCTAGTGCCACTCGAGTGATCTAACTTTGCATCGTCGCTAGGATCGAGTGGCGTGGCAAGTTGAGTGGCTAACATCCTTTGGGAAATGATTGTGAAAATGCTAACACACATACACATGGTGGTGTACACTTTGTGGTGTTGGCACATTTACAAAGGAGGTGGTGTTTGCAGGGGTGAGACGGGTTTGGGTCCCTCTCGGGATTCGGCGCTTTTGGGAAAATAGAATGCCTATTTTCTATTGCGCCGGATGCAAGTTCTTGTGGTTAGCACATTGGAGCAAGGGTGATGAAGTTAGAAGTGAAAACGAGTTAGTCGCGAAGATGCTGGCGTCGGTCAACTGACCGGACGCTGGATCTGAATGCACCGGACGCTGGCAGGCTGTGTCCGGTCAGGCTGA